TTATATTTTTATGAGAAGTTCTTTTTATTTAATCGAATCCAAATACTAAAACTGGTGGCCACCTTCTTTAAAATATTTTGGAATGTGAATCTTAATGGAATTTATTTTTTGAAATAGGTTGCAATTCTCTTCAAACAATATTTTTTTGAATCAACTGTCTTTAGCCGTTTGCTATTTTTCACCCGTATTGCCTATCAATCTAATCTAATTAAATTTTTTCAATAGGTGGCAACTCTCTTTAGAACTAGCTGCGAGCCTTCTCCTCGCCGAGACAAACACGGTGGTAAGCGCTTGCAAACTTTAAGCAGCTTCTCTTTTATACATACATATAGATTTCACAAAATATTGCAAAGTTTACGTACATACATAATAAGGATAACTTTTCAAGGCTCATAAATCTATGCTTAACGAAGAAAAAGTTTAAGGGCTTGTTTCTCCAACTCGACTTGACTTAATTTAGCCAATTTTTTGGAGTTTGTCAAGAATAAGCTGAATAAAAAGTACGCTAACTTTTGACTTATGTCCAAAAAATGGCTAAACTAAGTTGAGTTGGAGAAACCAGCCCTAAGACTTGTTAGCGTTATGCGGCTCACGTAATAATGGTCACCGTAGCTATAAATCTTAATTTATGATTGAGCTATAAAATTTATTTTAAATCGGTGAGCCTTGCCCGCGGGCAAAGCTCTTTTAAGCTTTATATACATTTTGTAAAGCTTTCTCTACCCGTCCCTGTTTTAAATGCAATGCAAACTGGGCTTTCTTGTAAGCTATATGCCGTCAGCGTTGCCGTTTGGCTTATTTTTCTTCGTGTTGCCAAGATTTTTTATTAAATATTCATAAAGCATAATTTTCCTCAAAAATTCATTTCTGACTATGAGTTACCATTTCAAACAATTTTGCAATTTTATTTTAGGATCCCGTATAAAGTTCCAGGAAATGTTGCTCTGCGCAACTCCCGCGGAGGGCGTCTCATTTTCAAACCTCCGAGTGTTCTCCTGCCATGAAATCGCTTCTCATAAAAACCATTTGCAGTTCGGAAGCGACTTAGAACTTTAGGTCTCTTCATTTGAGTGACAAGATTAACATGCACATTATGGAAAACATGATACCAAACTCGTTTTATGCAAGCATTAAAAAAAAAAAAAACGAAAGGGCAGCTTACTAATGTAGGAGTATACGTTGAAAGCCTAAAAGAATGTGTAGGTAATAGTTTTCAAATTAAGCAACTGTTAGACTATACTTGCCTTTACTTACATACATAATTGTTTATTTTTTATTTCTATAACCAATTTACCAAACTTGGTAAGAAGAGCGCAAATTAATTAAATAAGTTGCTTATTTTTTAAGTGATTCGGTGCATTTTTCTAACGATTTTGGTAAATTTTATTTTAGCGGTCGCGGCAACACTGCATGCCATATGTAAAGCTTTCAAAAGCTTCGAAATTTTAAGCTTTAGATTTCCGCCAGTGGTTCGTGTACAAGCTTGCTATGTTAGTATAAATTATTAATAGAGAGCGCGCTGACTCATAGCAATGGCCAGCAAATTCGATAAGTTCAAAAATTTTCATTTGTGTGTGATTGTGTTTTTGCATATCAAGTGACGGCTTGTATGTACGTATGAATGTTAATGTAAAAACTGTGATAAGAGAGAAAAACTGTGAGGGATACACTAGCTTTTCGCGGGGTTGACACATTGAAATTAAATATTAAAGTCAAACTTCCCCAAAAGATGTGCTATTCTTATGAAACACACTTTGTGATAGACAACACATAAGACCATATCACATCATGTCACGTCAAATCACATCACGCCACGTCACATCATATCACTTTGTCTGCTAAGACTCCTCTCATATCACATCGCTTCGCATCACATCACTTCAAACCACAGTCAATCTTATTTCCTTTATCTGATTACAACCACATCATAATATCTGTTAAAAGCGGGTCACATAATTGAAGACGTTCCATGCTTATACGGCTCAATTATTATTTTAAACTGCACAAATATCCAAACTTAATTTAATTTGTACTTTTAATTAACTTCATTAAATTTATTTTAATTCACTTTTACCTACGAAAATTACTTTTTTATCAATTAAGTTTCAGTCCAAGTACGGACATAACTTTTATTACAGAAAAGCAAGTAATTTTTATGCGGTCTGCGACATACATACATATGTACATATATACCCTTGTGGTCAGCTTATTAAGCCAACTGACATTTTGACTGGTTTTGGCTATTTTATTTTTATTTATATTCTTTTTAAATACAATTTTGGCACTTTACCTAACCAGCGCCACATAAATTCGCATTTCAAACTTCGTACAAAAATTATGAAAATTCACAAAATTTTAACCTTTGCATTCAAAAATTTTAAGCATTTTATTTATAACTAGAAAATTTTTTTTAGCTTTAGTAGATTAAAGTGCAAATTTCAAGACGCTAAAAAATCGCGTTGAGTTTTAATAATTTTTTGGCTGACGGTGTTGTGCATTTTCTTCCATATAAGTAAAGTAGGCTCGACAATTTTGTTTGTATGGGAAAAAATGTCTAGCACCATCAGCAAAAAAAAAAAAATTACTACAAATTAACGCGATTTTCTAGCGTCTTGAAATTTGCACTTTAACCTACTAAAATTTAATCAGCTACAAAACTGCATACTCAAAATTTTTCTCTAAATTACAAATAAAAAGTCCACAATAAAAAAACGGCCTCGAGCTCAATAAAAATTGTTGAATTTAATTGTTATAAGGCCATAAAATAAAAAAAAACATATATATAAAAAGTTAAAAATTTTTTGGCTGCAAATGTTAAAGTTTGTTGAATTTTCATAATTTTTGTGCGAAGTTTGAAATGTGGATTTATGTGGCGCTGGTTAGGTAAAATGCCAAACTTTTATAAAAAAAAATATAAACATTAGAAAAATAGCCAAAACCAGTCAAAATGTCGCTTTACTTAATCAGCTGACCACAAGTATATGCATATACATACACATACATACATCGATGAATGCTCTGCTTAATGCATAAATGGCTCAACTTGAATGAATGGAATTATAAGCGTCAAAAGTTTTATTGAATCATTAACTGATGGATGGCTGGATGGCTGCGCAAGTTGACGAAAAAGATTATTTGACTGGCAACCAATGGCACGATGGCAAAATATTTATGTGTATCGTCAGGTGGAAAAGCCTGATACGCATAAGATTTGTTGTTACTTGTAAATGCACTGAATAAAGAAGGAAGAAGTAGAGCGTTGCTTGAAGAGAAATCCATGCGCTGATTGACTGTCTGACGGCTTTGATTGAATGCCTGCCAAGTTGAATGACCATTTATGTCTTTTACAGCCTCTTTGGTTGGCCGCTTTGTCTGCTCGTACAATATTCTGGTACTACCAAAGGGGCAAGCAAACAGCAATGAAAGCATAAAAGAAATTAAATATTGGATTATGGTTAGCGGGCTTCCGATTGTTTTAATTGTATACGAAATACTATAACAACGATGATGAGCAAGTAGAATACGTACATACATAAATACATAAGTTAAGCTCAAGCTTTTGCGCTGAAGATAAATAAAGAGTATATAAATAAAAGGCTGGTTGGTACTCGCATTTTGCGTAAATGGCAATTTTAATTACAATCGCTGTCAGTTATGAAGATTCTTCCATTATTAATAGTTACAAAGATGTGACAGGCAAAATGTAATATTGAGTATCTGTAAAAAATGGTGGAAATGTACACACACAGGACGCAAAATCAGTGCAAGCATAAATAATATAATAATTTTCTGGATAATAATAAAATAAAATAAATCAATTTTAGTTGGGTTACTAGAGAACTTGGACAGAGACTGAAAAAAAGAGTTTAGAGCGGATAGTGAAATGTACCAAAAACTTAGCTTTGCCACAGATTTTTGAAATATTCAAAAAAAACCTTTGCTGGCTCCTTATTACTTCTCTTTTTGAGAGAAAAGTTTAGACAATATTTTCTCAGGCTCTGATTTTTGACTACATAATAATTCTGCTGCTGATGCTTTTGTAGGTACCTTTTCGAGCGCTTTTTGGGAAGCTAATAATTTCTTAAGGCCTGATTATGACAACTTAACGTAACTTAGAGGCTGTCACTTAAAAATTCTCTTAAATGGATGTTGCTTATATTTGAACAGGGGAAACTTAACGTAACTTAACTCAACGCCTAGGTCTATTTCATGTAAACGTTCTAAGTTACGTTAAATAAAGTTAAGTTGCCATAATCAGACCTTTAGTTAGTCAACAAATAGGGCAGAGGTGAGCGATGTGCTAAGCAAGCAGGTGGTGAGGAGTTGATAGTTTAAGCAGGATTGAGAGTCGATTGCGAAACTTCTCGGCTGTCTGTTGTGACTGCAGCTTTGCGACGTCGAACATTCGCCGCATTGCCTGACGCACGTTCTGCATTTCAAAGAGGCGCAAGTGGACCTAAGCTGCAACGACACCTAATTCTACTAAAATAGTGATTTAATAAAATTTAATCAGAGATATTTTGTCCTTACAAAATTTATGATCACAAGTGTTCATTTTTGGGGTTTTGCGCAGTTAAGCATAGAATCCAGGTCTCATGTTAATTTTATTAGTGTTCCTTCCCAAACTACTGTTTTAGAAAATATTGGCTTTTAAAGGCTAGCAGTATTTGCTAGTCAGTTTTCGCTGTTCAAGTTCAAACTGACTGGGTTTTTCCATTACACTGGGTGAGTTTTTTCTGAAAAACATTTTTTTTTTAAAGCAACGAGAGTACAAGAAAAGCAAAAATCGTTCTGGACGCGTCGACGCGTATTTGGTGCAAAGCTAAATTTGAACTGTGTCATTATTATTTCATGTAAACATTCCACTTTTAAGGGAAGCTTGAAATCTAGACATTCCATACCAAATTAAAAAGGAATAAAGGATAGAGGCCATAAGGTCGCTTTTTTAAAATAGACAAAAAAGGCAACAACATATACATATAGCGCATATTTATTTAATTTTTTTAACGATATAATTGATTAAGTTTTAATATACTTATGTGTTTAATATTCATGTAGTATGTATAGGTAAATTTTGCGTTATATTTTTTTTTTTTTATTTTGCTATTTGGAGCGCTTTGATTTGCGAATGTTGAAAGGCAGTAGCTGAATAAAATATAAGTAAACATATATCTTTTCTTTTTTTAAATCATTTATTCACTTTTGTTTATTCCTTTATTTTAGTCTTCAGGTCCACCACAGGCGCCCTCTCCCTCTCCGATAGATCCTGCATCTTCTAGTGCTGTCTTTTTGCACGTACCGAATTTGTAGTTAACGATATGCTCGTATATTTGACCAGGTCTCAAAATAATTTCAGGAAAATTTGCCTGAAAAAGATAACTTTTTATTATTTTGGAAACAAATTCGCAAAAGCTCATTATGAATAAAAATCAGAGTAGAAACCGTATTACAAAATTAGTAGTTAAATAAAGCCACGAAAGTGAAGAAAATGTTTTCATAGTTCATTTGTAAAGTTTCTTAAATTCTAGGAAATGCAAAATATTGAGTTAGTGCACTTTTGAAATTCATCCATGAACAAAGCTGTTTGTGTAAATTCCTTTGATACTTGAATTTACGCATATATAGTATATGTACATAAATATTATAATTTTCACAAATTTACCACGCAGATAGGCAAAAGATACAGTTTAGTTATTTCTTCACTTCAAATGGCAAGATTGAAAGCAATTCGAAATCTCTGCATACTCATAGCAGCATACGAAAATTATTTGTAAATAAATAGTTCGTTTGCCAACAATTTTGCCTATGTACAAATAAATATTTATCTGTGTATATTGATAGGCTGTTACGCTATTGTTATTGAATCGGCTTTGTTAAACTTTTGCTTCTCCTGTTGCACGACTTTGATTTCCTTTTCGTTTTATTTCGCCAAGCTATTTAGTTCGTTGTGGTCTGAGGCGTATGCCTTCATATCCTTTCTTGACTCCGATCCTTTATCTTGACTTTGCGTAAATTTTCGTGCGCTCATTTCATTTCAGTATTGTGAATTGTTCTATCATTTGGCTGTGCTGCCTTAAGGTTTCTTTTAATTCTTGTACAGTTAGTATTTTATTCTTTCTCATCTATACTTCTCGGTATTTCTTCATTCATTCATTTGTGCAGCTGCCACAATCACACTGGTCTTTTAGCTTGTCACTGTCAGTCGCTTCGCTCTGCTCTGACGTGTGCTGCGAGTCTTTAAAGGAGAATGCGCACAAATATCGCAAATTCGCATGTACATATGTATATATGTGCAATATATTCCCTGCAGTGAAAAGCCAAAACAGTCTTTAAAACATTCGAGTGACTAATTGGTACAAGCTTAGGTGAAGGCTGACTAGTTAGTTAACTGTACTTAACCGATGCAAAAGCTGACCAGTTCGAAAATATGGATGTCGCGAAGGGTCGCAGTGTCAAAGCAAAGACGAAAAGGCAATTAAATGGTAGATGCAAAATTTATAGATTTAAGTATAATTAATTATGTGAAAATCACTTGGTCTACACCAGTGGTGCACACGGGAGTCTCCGAGAGCTACCCGGCTCTCACGTACAAGTCGTGTATGCGCAGCTAACAAACTGTTGCGACGTTAGCAGTGAATTAGTTTGCATTTCCCTGCAGAAAAAAAATATCGATTGATAAAAAATAACCCACTTGTAGTTAGCCTTTTTGCGGAATTTCTATAAAATATATGACTTGTAGTTAGCTATAAAAAACTAACTTGCAACTAGTTGAAAAGTAATGCAGGAGTAATGCAGACGCAATTGGGAGATTATTTTCTTTAAACGCGTTTCTATTAAAATATCCAGCACTTCAAAAATACTTTTTCGAATTGAGGACAAATAAAAATAAGATCAAAATTTCATATTATCATTTGGAAGTTATGTCCGACGGAGTTCGAATATGGGGGACCACCTACAGCAGAGTATGTAAATATATATGAAATGTAATAAAATAAAGTAAATAAAAAATAAATAAAAAAGTAAATTAAAAAATAAAAAAAAATATTTTGTTTTTCGTATTGATATTTTATGTCCAAAAGTAGTTAGTTACATCAAATGCAGAGGTAACCACCCTTGACTATTTCGCGGTCATCGCCATAGAAATATAGTTAGCTTTACTCAAAGGAAATATACAAATAATAGTGACCTTTAGTTCCTTCCTAATAAACTCAAAGTTCACTTATAGTTAGATATATTTCCTGCAGGATTGCTAGTGTACGCATGCTAAGACGAAAATTTTCTACTCCGAAGGAACTGTGACGCCACTCGAAGAATGGTAAAAGGTCATTGATAATATTCGCTAATATGTACTTGATTAAAATTGATTTTTTTTCAAAAATTTGTCCAAAATCCGCGGAGACTTTAAACATGACCCACTATATAAAACGAACCAGTTAACCGCCAAGTCTACTGATAGATCAGTCAATCTGGCACTTGAGCTCGAAATAATTCCCCAATGGATAAAAAAGGAAATTATATAGATTAAAATAGCGAAATGTCCTTTCTCTCAATTTGGCATAAAATATTTTCAATTAATTAAAAACTATTGGCAGCTAGCACATCGTTGCTAATATTACTGACAGTTTGTTTCTCGTTCATCGTTTTACAATGGAGGATATTTGTTAACTGGAGTGAGAATTGCGCTGTGAATAATCACTTTCGCCTTATCGATACTTAAATTCAGTTATTATTTTTTTATTTGTATTTTTGTCTGAAATACAAATGAAATGGAAATAATGTTACTCATACGCCATGTATTCGCGCGTTTGATCCAACTAAATACGAAAAAAAACAGCAGCAATTGACTATTCGAAAATGTTTAGTGGCAGCGTAAAATTTTTACTGCAGTTATTTTGAGCATTTTGTATCTCTATAAAGGAATATTTCTTCCATCTTAGGATGATGAGAAACAAATCGTCCGTGATATTTGAAGCGATGCGCTAGTTGTCAATATTTTTTTCATTTATTAAAAATATTTCCAGTCAAATTCTAGGGTGGGACATTTCGTTTTTTTTAATCAGCATAATTTTTCCAAGCCAAAAGGTAGGATTGTCTTTCCATTGGGGAATTATTTCAGGGCACACCCTATGCCAGATTGACTGGGTTATAGTTGCATGCCAGTTCAGAACTAAATACGTAGTGGCTTTTACAGTAGGGTTAGTAGTAGTTGGTACGTTTGTGTAATACTTTGCGTCCATTTTTTTTTTGTAGTAGCTATTGAACTCACGTGATTCGGTGCGTCGGGATAAACTTGTGTCTCGAGACAAAAGGCGCCATGTTTGCAGTAGCGTGCATTGCTTCTGCCGATAAGGGGTTTCTGTGAAAAGAGAATTAAACGTAATATATTACATGAATAAGTAATGGAAAATATGCGCAAGTACTATAATTCATAAATGCTTATTAATGATGTGCATAAGCTGCATGAAAGTAAAGATTTGTGTAAAAGTACTCTAGACTTGATTTGATTTACCACATTGGGGCATCAGTAATTTATGTATATACATACATTTCACATGCATAACAAATAGTATGTTTTTAACACTAATAAAATTACAAAAATTCACACCACATAATACGTTCTAGAATTTAAATAGAATTAAACTTAAATGCTGAAAGTGAGATGATTGTATTTAAATGAAAACTTAAAAAATATATACTAAACAAAATCAAAATAACATCTCGTACTCATTTACCCATTGTTGTGAATGTTACGCATACGTCCCGTAGCACCTTATACAGCCAGCTGATATGTTTACTCCCACGCCTTAACTTAAAAGTCATATTATTTATTACGTTTACTTTAAAATATAGAAAATTTTTTACACTTTAAAGCTTTGCAATCGATCCTAAGCTTCGTAATGTCATTTTTTCAAGCAATGCGATAGTGAAGTACCAAAAAAAAGCATAAATTTTACATTATAAATAAGAAAAAAAATACATTTGCATTTTTACAAATATAAAAAACCATCTACTCCCATTTATTTTGCCCTTGACTGCATTCAATTAAAATATCTATTGTCTGTGTAAATTAAATGCAATTTCTATGTTGAATGTTGCAAAAGAGAGCGACATTAAATGGTTGGTAAACCAAAAAAAAAAACACACACACACAACAATCAAAAAACTGAGTTTCATATCGCATTGTAGAATTTTTGAAATGCAAATTTAATACTTTCCGCCTGCAGTTATGGTTTAATACGAAAATAATTATTATAAAGCTATTTATGTTTGCATGTGTATACATATGTACTAGTGAATTTGTGTGCATGAACAAAAAATATTTATAGAATTTGAAGATAAAACACACACACACACTGATATGCAGCAACACGTTCGATAAAGCAAACGTTTTGCAATGCATTTAAAATGCAATATCATGAGCACATTCAAATGCACATTCATTTATGTATATGTTCTTGAGCATTAGAGTGTACCAGGAAAATTTTCTTTCGGGAAATTCACTATGCATACATGCTTTTGATTTCGCTTTGGCACAAGTAATGTGAAAACTTCGAACTTTTTTTATTACGAACTTGCTCTGAGAGTGAGTATGAGTTTTTCAATCATATCCAATGGCGGCCGCTGTGGTGACTAGCACTGCATGCTACCACTCATCAGGGCCTGGGCTCAAGCCAAACAGTGGTTCGAATCGCAAATCCATCTGGACGAAAGTTAGAATTTTATTTGTTTTTATATTACTTCATGATACTTGCATAATATTCCTGACAAAATACGTATTTTATCAAATTTCTAAAAGCAAATAATATATGGAACCAAAAGTAATGGTACGCCAATGCCATCTATTTGAGTACTCTATTTTAACGTAAAATATTGCTTATACCACTAACAGATATCTACGTAATGGCCAATTCACTTTATAAACCAAATGCTACGCTTATTTCTCAATAGAATTATAGCTCTTGAAAAAAAAATAAAATTTTTCGCTAATCAACTCAAAATATTGCCTTAACCGTTTTTTAAATACAACATCACTTTCTCCTTGTAGTGAACCGCAATATTTTGAAGTCGGTTTTCAGGAAAAGTTAAATAACTCAGTCACTACAGGTACTTTCTCTTTTGCTCTCTGTTGTTTTACTCGACAAGATCTACAGCTTCCTTCCTTCCCGATGTTTGGCTTCTCGATGTTTGGCCTTATCTACCATCACTTAATGGAAATTTCACCCTGATACAAGTCTTAGCATTGTTAGGTAAAAACATCAGAGCTTTCTCACATTTCTAACCTACGAACTAACGGACTATGTACATCGTACAACTACTGGGGCGGACATTGTACTGACAACGGTGTTTATCGACAGACCTCTATCACTTTTCGAACTCTTAACCCGTGGAAGTGTTTGTCGGAGTTCAACTAGCGCCCATCGCAGACGAAGCAGTTCAGATACCTGACAATTTCTTCCTTATGTTTTGAGACACCTTAGTGAGCATGTACTACATATATAAATATGTTAAAGTAATACTCATACGACCTGATGCACAATCAATACAAATTGCAATTGCAGTTTCTAATGTATTTTCATTGCTTTGACTATAGAAAAAGTAAGACGAATAAAAAAAGTCACCAAAACAAAAGGCACATTGGCAATGCGTATTTATGCATATGTAGTATACCCTGTGGTTCAACGCACTAATGCCGAACTGGTTGTATGTTAGCAACGGGCGAGTTTAGAATCGCGATGTCCTACGAAGTGTCAATTGGCCCCCGCTGCAAATACGTCACCTTAGATATAGATTTATATTAAGACCATTTTTTTTGTTTATTCTGTGAGACTTATCACATTTTCTGTGACTATTTTTGATTTGGCGATTTTGCGTATAACTAAACAGAAACACTTAGAAGTCAAAAAGGTAGTTCGATCTTTCTAATTGTTCTTGCTTCTTGCACCAAAATAAAATTATAAGAAAAAATGGAAAATTAAAGTGAAATAGTTTTTTTCAAGTACAACATTTCGCTGCTTTCGAACTGGAGGGGATCTAGTTACTTTCGAACTGGTTCGTTTTTGGCGTCAAATATCTAGTACGGAGCTTGAAATTTTGTTCACTAGTTCGAGGTTTCCCTGCAGGAATATTTATGTATGTACATATGTATATCCATATGCATGTACCAATGTAAGCATTTATATACAAACATATGTGGGATATCCTTTTAAGTTGCACGTTGGTGTAACGCATACGATACGTAGACAGCGTGCCTCAAACGGTGTGCCAAACAAAAAATGCAAACACACGGAATTTTACGAGTCCACATATGCGGCTACTTTTTGTATTCATACAACCATTTTAATACATGTGAGTCAATGATGGTGTATTCTACTATTATATGCGTATCACTTGACTCGCATGCTGTGCTTTCTCTGCACAAACATACCCTGCAGGAAATGTATCTAACTATAAGTTAACTTGAAGTTGATTGCGAATGAACTAAAGGTCACTATTTTCTACACATTTTTTTTGAGGAAAGTGTGCCAAGGGTAGTTACCACTGCATTAGAAGTCAACTAACTGGTAACCAACTACTTTTGGACATAAAATATCAAAAAGAAAAACAATTTTTTTTTTAGTTTTTTATTTATTACCTTTGACTGTTTTTTTCTGCAGGGCACATATATATATGCAAGTATGTATAAGCAAATAACTAGCTGTGTGTGTGCGTTACTTCGCACACAAGACACATGTTTTCCTAATGAATAGCCCTGCAGCAGCAACAGTACAGCAGCTGTACGAACACAATAGCGATGGGCCAGCGAAAAACAATGCTTTGGGTCACACAAAAAAAAAAGAAGCAAAATGCAGCAAGGCAAGCAAAAACAAAAATAAAAATCGGTTCAAAAGCAAACACTTGACTCGCTTGCTAGTGTAGTCAGCATTTCACTGGGTTTTTCTGCATTCTGCATTTTTTTCTTAAAATTGCAGCAAAGGCGAACTGCAATTGCTGGTTTTCGCAATTCAATGTTTCTTGAAGCTGTGCTTTTACTATTTTGTTTTTATTATTATTGTATACATTTGACTGGCTTTTTGACAAAAAAAAAAAACGCTGAGAGCTCGAAACAGACAGAAGAAGGGGTAGAGAAGGAGAAAGTGCGCTTTAACTTTTTTGCTCTGCAGCATAAGCACGTGCCAGTCATAATAATGTCCACTTTTCAGCTAACAAAACTATTTCGTTGCTTGAGTGCATAAAAGCGTCCTGTTGCACGCACGCTCGAGTGCTTAAATACAAACCGCACAAACGCACGCACACATATACATACAATTAAGCGACAAATATTGTGCAACGGAAGCGGAAATAGCACACAATCATAAAATACTCTGTTCGCCTGCAAGAATTTACTCATATGTGTTTAAGTGTGTGATGGTGGTATGTGCTGCTGCTACCGATAGCTTTTGTTTTTGTAATAAAGCACAGCATGCTAAGAAGAAAAGCTCTAATATTTTTTTTGCACTCATTTGCCCATTTTGCAGCCACTTAATTAAATTATTTAGTAAAACAATGCGTTCTAATTGAATTTTAAAGATATTTTGGTTGTACAAGCACTCACACTGCCAACGAAAAGCATTTTCCTTCATGCACACACATGCAGCAACCGAGTGCATGGCGAACCGAAGCTCTGTTTGGTTATCAAACACGTGCACACTCGTTGGTAATGCGATTAGTGGGCGTGAAGTGCGAAGTGAGTAAGGATTAGGTGTGAAGTGTTTCATAAGAGATTTCCTCGTTTGAGGAAATTGAGCGTTGCCATGTATTACTACGTGCTGACATATACATACACACATGTAAATATTTTAACTCCGAAGTGCAACAGGTAAAAAAAAAAACAAATTACGACAAATAGTACTGGAAAGTGGACTTACTTTTTTGAGAATCCGAAAGCAAGTAAATCATATATCAGCCACTCAACACATCACTAGCAATTAGAAGAAAGAAAATACAATGTTCTGAGCATTCTGAAATAAGTTCGCTGTAATATGAAATCGGTTTCGAGTAATCATACTAGGTAAAAGTTATTTTTACGGACGGCTCAAAAATGGATTGTGGCTTAGGGGCGTGAATTTTTTACAGCTGACCTCTAAATTGCAGAGGTCTTTGCTATCAAAAAGGCGTGCAAAATAATTTTAGCCTCAAAGCTTGCCGGGACCAGCCTTGCTATTTTCTCGGATAGCCAGTGAGCGATCAAGTCACTTGGCTCTGCAAGCATCACATACAGCTCAATAAAATAGTGCAGAGAGTACGTTGCAGTTTTAGCTGATGGGCTTGTCGTTGCACTGATCTGGGTGTCGGGGTACAGCAGAACTCATGGCAATG